CCTTGAGTTGAATCAAGCTAAGATAGGGGTAAACAGTCTTTTACCCCGAGCTTGGACTGATGATTTTTGTGTTAGAGCCCAATTATTAATTGGGTGATGTTTTGATATTGACAGTTCGGGAATCTGTCATCCAACAGCTGGGATTGTGTCTGTGGGACTTCAACAGTGTGAGGTGAGTCTCCTCACCATACCAATGGGTCTAAGGCACCAATGTCGGCCCATTTTATGATATGTGACACACTAGCTGAAGTTGTATTATGTGGCATGTTAGCTTGTTATGTGATAGGGAGTATGCTAGTGATTATGTGGTATGCTAATTGATTATGTGGTACATGATATGTTAGTTGTCTTTGTGATACTTGCATGGAAGACCTCAGGGGGGTTCTGTCACACCCCCAAACCAGAACGGCGGAAACGTTCGGGGGCGGAGGACGTCATGTACAGTATCATAACAATGCACAATAGTAAACAAGCAACAACATCATCCATTGCATTAATAATATAATTTAATACAAGTGTGTTCTGTTTGATCATTTGAAAGACACCAAAATATGAATCAAAATATAAGACGAGTCTTGAACATGCTCCGTCTTCTCAAAAACCTGGTCATCGGTACCTGTCTACTGGTGACCTGAAAATACAAGTTATTTTGAAAGAGTAGATCAGCATTTAAGCTGGTGAGTTCATAAGTATTTTAGTGTCAATGTTTGTATAAGTTTGATGAAAGTGTTTGTAAGTGTTTGATGTAAATGTTTGTAAGTGTTTGATGTGTATGTTTGTATACCTCCTAGAAAATCCTATATTTTATACTTATTATGTAATGTAGTCTTCTACCAAGACCCGACTGTTCTATATGTTTGTTCTTTTGTAAAAGTGAGTGTTTTTCCCAAGTATGACTATCATTACCAGAATATAGTTTACGTTACCGTTTATGTGAGAAGATCACTATATGAATGTAATGGGAAAATGAAGATGTACAGTAGTATTGTATAAAGTAACTACATATGTACTAACTACCTTAAAACCAGTTGTTTAATTAAGGTAAAATGTGATGAGATTATAACCATACTTGATTGACTAGTAAAACACGACGTTCAAAGACGTCGAAATGGTATGACATTCGTCACCCGTAGACCTGCAAGTCCCACTGTAGCTAGCAGCAAGGTGTAGGATGGTCAATACCGTATAGATCTATACAAAAATTCACGCTCTCCCTCCAGGAGACTCTGGTTACAAAACGTGACACAACAGTATATTGCCATGTCATGAAGTAGTGGCTCATATTATTGTTATCTTTGTTATTGTATTTGTATAGTATGTTCCTTCTGTTCTAGTGTATAGTATGTTCCTTCTGTTCTAGTGTATAGTATGTTCCTTCTGTTCTAGTTATAGTATGTTCTTTCTGTTCTTGTTATAGTATGTTTGAACTGACTCATGTATGAACTGACTCTTGTAAGTTTCATTGTTCTAGAAATAGTAAGTAGTAACTTCCTAAACTATACCTATTATAGTTTACTAGTAAGCTCTGTTACTGATTGACTGATCATGTTTGTACACATTTGCTACCCAAAGGTATTGAACTGATTGAAGGTACTTTTATATCTATATACATATACATAATATATAACTAAGATTAAAACGACATTCGGACAAACAACCGATACCCTAAGTCCACAACCAAACAAGGAACATGAAATAAAGTGAGTTATCAGTACTAAGCCCTATCAACCTTGTTTATATACTATATCTATATAGACATGATTTTGACAATATATATAAGTTTAAAAGAGTTTTGTAAAACGATAAAGAGTTTATGTTATAAAAGAGTTTTAACCATTTGAATGGTTATTGATGACTTGATGTCAGTTTATAAAATGGTTTGAAACAGTTTGTTTGATAACACAGTTTTGAAGTATAAGAAATCTTCTTGTTTGATAGTTATAAATCACATGTGATTGATACTATAACTATACTATTTTCTACTTGTATTCCCCTCATAAAAGCATTTAAAATCATTTAAAAGATAAGTTAGGGGTATGAACTCACCTGTAGTGAGTGATTCGAATGTAAGATCGATTAGGATGCTAAGTATGCCAAGTGAAGTCTTGAGCACAAACGGATCCTATTAAGCATATAATGACATATATATATATATATATATATATAATTAGTGTATATAACAACTAATCATGTAAGGGAACCACCTTAGGGACTAGGAAACACTTGGAATGAAGTATTACAATCACATATGATTGTATAAAGGGTGTTCACGGCCACACAAGGTTGTGTTTAAGGCCAAGGGGTGTTCACGGACAAGGAGTTTACGGCCAACACATGAACTTGAAGGGTTTACGGCCATGGGTTGAAGGGTTCACAGCCACCTTATGAACTAAGAAGGGTTTACGACCCCAAGAAGGGTTTACGGCCGTAAACTCTTGAAGTTTATGCACAAAGTGTTTGTTTCATGGTTGTTAATCAAGTGCTTCTAATGGATAACAAGTATATGGAAGAGATACTTACATTTTGGAAGCTTATAGGGTGATTACGGCCCAAAGAACTAGTGTGTGTTCTTGGTGAAAAGATGAAGACTTGAAGATCTAACCCAAAAGAGTTGAATTCATGGATGAAATCAAAGGGTTTAACAAGATTAAGTAAGATATCAAGAAACAATGGAAGAATCACTTACAAATTTGAAGAGAAATGGAAGTGTTCTTGATGATACTTGAGAGAGAAACGAGTTTTAGCCTTGAAGATGTGAGAAATGAGGAAGAAATGAAGGAATCCTATACTTGAAGGAAGGGGTTTACGACCAAGCTTGGGTTTACGGCCGTAAACCCACCTTGGGCCGTAAACATCCCTTGATGGATGTTCTTGGTTCAACTTGAAACCTATTAAATCCTTACTCACAATACATAACATTAAGTCCTATAGGCACAAAGCTTAAAAACTTCACGAATAGTCCTTAGCAAGGCTAAAAGGTAACAGAAACTAGTCTGACCTTTGATTGAATTGAATGGCTTTACAAGATAGAAATTTCGGGTTGTCACAGGTTCCCGGGGCACTAAGGTGTAAGACCTTGGAGGGTTTCCATGGCATCCTTAGTTAAGACCATGTCGGGGTTCCCATGACATTGGGCTAAGACCATGTGGGGGTTCCCATGGCACCCGGTGTAAGACCCCGGAGGGTTTCCAGGGCATCCTTATGTGTTTGCATGATTAGCTTATATGTTGGTATGTATGGTTTGATTGGTAGTTAGTGAAGACCATGTGGGGGTTCCCATGGCAGTGGGCTAAGACCCTGGAGGGTTTCCAGGGCACCCGGTGTAAGACCTTGGAGGGTTTCCAGGGCTTCCCTATACGTTTATATGCATGGCTGGTGTAGTTGATATGATTTACGTGAGTATGTGAATACGACCTTGGAGGGTTTCCATGGCATCTTTATATGTGTATATGCATGCTTATGCGATTGTTACGGTTTATGTAGCTGTTATAGCTGATATGGATTATGTGGTTATGTGGATTGTGTGGGGTATGCTCTGGGGAACTCACTAAGCTTCGTGCTTACAGTTTTGTTTATGGTTTCAGGTATCATCGATTTGAAAAGAAGGGCTCAGATTGATCGCAGTGCACACACCTATGATTTCCGCAATGAATGATTTGGGATAAACTCTGATAAATATTTTACTTAATGATGATTTGAAATGTTTGAAATAAATGATATCAATGCTTTAGCTACATTTAAAAATGAAATTTTTACCCTTGATTTTTGGGTCGTTACATGGCTAGTTCTGGGATCATTCCATGTGTTAACCTCAAAGAGTCCATTTGTTTTTACTACCAATTGAAGGGACATTAGAAACAAAGCTGCCCAAAGTACCTGAAAGATCTTAGAGATTGTAAAGTCAAGTCATGTGACTTTACTTCAGGTACATCCATTATCTGACTCCATTGTTTTATAAGTTCCTAGTCATAGACTTTTAATACATGATGTGATGATCACATTTTGATAGTATTAAAGGAGTTAAGAGAAAGAAGGAAGCTTGAACAAGGTGAGCAAAATCTGATCATGAGAAATAGACTTTGGTCACATGGTTCAATGATAAGAATTTGGAGCTACTACTCAGAAGTTGGGATAATTAACAAATTGCTATTACTCTTCGGAAATGTCTAGAAACATGGTTTTCATTTTATGCATTGTAAGGACAAGTTCCAATGACCGTCCGGGATAGTGTGCACGGCCATGATCGTGGTCCAGCTCAACCACGAGCCCCTCGTTAAAGGTATATCGGTTGGCCTAAAGCAACAATGTCGCCATTACGTTTTTGTAGCGTATGTGCCTAGTCATACTGATATCACTGTTAAAAATGTCAATTTAATACAATTCGGATCGCTCGATGGGGAATATAAGTTGGAAGATGTGATTATCATTTAGTATTAATTGACTGCTTATAAATAATGGTAAACACTCACCATCTTCAATTCTTCATCAAAGAAAAACCGTCCCTTAAAGGTCTTTCACAGTGCATGGAATATAAGAGTTCTTTTGTGTTCAAATATTTGGTAGAACATCAACGAACGTTTATAAAGACATTTTTTCAACAAATGAGAAATGCTTGTTAATTTTTTTTTTTTTAGGAATTAAAACATTTTAGTTATCATCATACAACGAATGAGAAGGCAAACGGGCAACAAGTTGCGCCGTTACAACAAAAATAAATTAAGATACTTGATGAAAACACTTTAATTTTACAATTTACATAATTTGATAATCATAAGATTAAAACAAATTTCAAGCTCCAACAAAAATAAATTAAGATACTTGATGAAAACCAATAAATGTTACTATGAACAACTTAAAAGACAACAATAACTCGATTCATTTAATCGAAAAAGGCTACAAATATACATGTGATGTAAATAAACTTTGGATAAAATTGAGAAGTATACGTAATTTATTTGTCTATTTACAAGTATACGTTTTAAAACTCTGTTATCAAACACTTAATGACAATAATGACCAAACCAACAATGCCTCCCTCCGCCTTCATAACCTTCTTCTTCACCTTCACTTCTACTGTAAATCCACCATAACAAATTACTTAAAGAATTCCCATCATCAAATCCATTTAAGTCCCTTATCTTTTCAATAGCAATTTCCTTCTCATAAATCCCTTGTAACGCATACACAAACCCTTTCCACCCTTCACCAACACCTTCCCTCCCTAACGCCGGCAAACCCCACTCCACAAGCCGCCTCACAAACCCCACATCGGAAAACAAAACCTCCGTCACCGGCAACAATGGCAGCACCTGAATCCCCACCCTACACTCCCTCCATTCCGGCGGAGCAAACCACAACCCACTATCTCTCTTATTCGCCCACAAAACCCCCACCACTCGATTATCCCTCGTGAATTCTTCACTGTAATAACTATCATCTTCTTTCACATGCCACCATGTTTGAGATGCATGAATCTCCATAGCTGTAAGCAAAGAGCCAATCGAAACAAGATGTGTGTCTCCATAAGCTAATCCCATTAATGCCGCTGAGTAATACGCATTAACTGCTTCACTTGTGCTTTCTTGATTCCTTCCATCTGCAAACTCAGTCAAACCACCTGCCCATGAATGTAGCTTCCATAAATCGAAACATCTTAACCTTGTATACTTCGAGTTTCCACCTCTACCTAACGTCATGAAATCCGCCATTAACGTGTAAGCTTGAGGTCTATATTTTCTTCCCCATATTGGATCTATTTTAGCAAGAACAGCGATCCCGTAAAGAAAGTAACCAATATGGTAATGATGATCGTTGTATATTCCAAATCCGAAATCAGCACTTGAATCTTGAGACCCTTGTTTTGTTATAATTCCACCCCATGATTTGTCATATAAAAATCCGTTTCCACTGAATGTTCCATCTAACCATGGCTCGATTGTATCCTTTAAATACTTCTGAATTCTTGAAATTACTTCAATATAAGTAACTTCTTCAGCTATTAAAGCTAATCTAGCAGCTCTTGCGACAAGCTTCCCATAAAAATACGATGATGTTGTCGATATTGAAGATGAATCTAACCCATCGACGTCTTTTACAAGAGCATCAATGATTTCCGGGTAGTTTTCTTCTTTGATTCCTTTTATCGAATGCCAAGTTACTGAAACTGGATCGGTTTTTAGCACCCACGAATCTCCGATGACACCCACAAGTTCGCCATCGATGCTATTGTATTTAACGTCGTCAAGAACTTTAACTGAAGACACATCAAGAAGACGAAGATGAAGAGGGTTTGCTAACATTAACAAATCCCCCCAACCTTTCGATTCCCATTTATATTCAACACAAAATGGTGTCGTAAACGCAGCATCACCCGATACCGGATAGCAAGAACTGAAACGATCAAGAACCGTTTCAAGATTAGGGTTTGCTGAATTCGGGAGTATTGCGATACGAATAACACCGGAAAACAATGAAGATGAAATCTTTGATATCTCGTGGGTTAGATCAATCGGTGAAGATGAATACAATAGCCATGTTTGACCGTTGTTGAGATTGATTTTGTACTTGGTTCTTGAAGAATTAGGAGTAAAATCAAGAATTGCATGAATGGTTGAAATGGAAAGTTCGGTTTTTTGTAAGACTTGACATGTTAAAAACGGGCTACCCCTAACTAGATAAAATCTTAAACTTTGTGGAAGATCTAACGTCACACTTAGATCGTTGAATGAAGATATGACGTGGGTTTGATTTGGGTCAGGGTTATCCACGGCGGAGATGGTGAGATCGGCGTTGAAGATTTGATATGTGAAGGCGGTGGTGGAGAATAAAGGTGGGTAACACATAGAAAGCGAGGAAGGAGATGATTTGATTAAATATGGATGGATGTATTCAGGTTGATCGCCATTTTTGAGGACGAAGTTTTGGAAGAAAGAGTTTGTGGGGAGAGGGGAAGAGAGAAGGTTGGTGGAGAAGAAGGTGGAGGGGTGAGGGAGGACGGTGGAGTTGGTTTCTGGAAACATGAAAGGGTGGGAGGGGCGGCGGTTCATGATGGCGGGTGGTGGTTCTGGTGGAGGAGAAGAGATTGGTGATTGGGGTTTTATAGAGGGTTTTCTTGGAGGTTTTTTGAAGGGTTTTGTGATGATTCTTTCCACTTTTCTTCTGATTTTCTTCAACACCATCTTGAAAGGGATTGAACAAATGGATAGAGAAAATTTAATGATACACCAGAATAGAAATTAATTAACCCTTCCTAGTAAATTAGATTCAAAGACTAGTTTTCAGTAACTGATTAAGAGAAGATGATAATGTTTTTGGCAACTTGAGATGGGAGGATTAGATTAGAAGGTAAGAGAGGATAAATGGGGACATATGAGATGTTTGGTTCTTTCAAGTTTGGGGTTTGATGTTTGTATTTGAGGATGATTTGAAGGTACTTCTAAATTCGAATAGTGAATGAAAGGGAAATAACTAATAAAGTTGATCAGTATTTGAAGGAACGTATAATTAAAAAGTTGGGTTTTTATTTTTTATTTTTATGTTTTGATGATGTATCAAGTATCAAAAGCAATATTATCTCTGAAGTCATTTGATAGAGGAATTATTAAGATTCTTTGTTGTTTCAATGATTAATGTTGTTTTGATTTAAGATACGTTTTCTATTTTTCCTTCTCATGTTTACATTCTTGACTTCCGAAAGAACCCTAGAGCTAAACCAAGAAAATGTTCTCCAATAAATGCAAACGATGTTGTTGGTTTTTTTTTTTTTTTTTTTTGTTTTTTTTTTTTTGTTTGTTTGTTTTTGTTGTTGGTGTTGTGTGTGTGTGATGGATATGGTTTAATGAAAAGCATTAATCCGACACTAACATGACCAGGCATTATGAAAAAAAAAAATGGCCTTACACTTAAAATGAGCTTAATGTTTGCAAAAAGGAGGAGACTAACACTACTAAAAAGTTATCAAATTATAAAATGGGATAAATTATTAAGACCGGAGAGTATCTGCGGGAAAATCTCTTATTTTTTGCTTGCCACGTCAGCATTTATTTTATTTTTTTTTCCTCGCCAAAACTCAGGGCGTATGGGAAGAATCTTTTACCTTTTTTTAATATATATATATATATATATATATATATATATATATATATATATATATATATTATTTATTTATTTTTGTAGGGAATTAAAAACTATGAATTTTAATATATATTTTTATTATTTTTTAGTAGGTATATAATTTAATAAATATTAAAAAACACTACAAATAAAACGATGTTTAGTGGCACAAAAAAGTGCCATTGAAAACCAAAAAAATGCCACTAAAAACCTCATTGGCAATCAGCGACACAAAAAAAATGTCACTACAAACGCTCCCACTAAAGGATTTTAGTGGCACTTTTTTGTTGTGTCGCTGCAGCCCTTTTAGGTTTTATTGACACTTTTTTTTGTGCCACTATAGCACTATTGGTTTTTGTGACACTTTTCTTATGCCACTGTATGATTGCTAAAATAAAAACAATTTGTATGTTTTAGCGGCACTTTTTTTTACAACAAAACATTTATACTTCAAAATTAGATCCAATGTTTTTTTCATAAATTTAAATGGAATATAAAATAATAAAAAATAAATAAGATAGTAAATGCAAAACACAAAAAAATTACTTAAATTAATACTTAACTTGTCTTACTGTAATATTCTCAATATTTAATACAAAAATATATTCCAAAAAGCTATAATAAGTCTAAACATTGTGCTAGTAATTACTCTAAATATTAAACTATCAAACTTAATACTTGTTGGAAAGAAACACGAAAGTTGACATGAAGATGAAATTTGTATAGTTGCTCCTCTTGTTTATCCATCTTGAACAATTGCGTGTAATATAATCATAATAAATCACATAAAAATATATAAGAATATCACTAATAATCACATAAAAATATGTAATAATATCACTAATAATCACCACACATAAAAAGAACCATAGATCAAATGGTTATCCTAGTTGAAAGTACTTACCATTGTAACAGTTACGTGTCAAAAGGACCATTTTTGTAATATATCCTTGCTATAAGGACAATTTTAACAGCTTCTTAAAGGACAATTTTTGTCATGTTTTCCTGTAATAAGGACCATTTTTGTAACAGTTACCTGCCACAAGGACCATTTTTGTAATATATTCCTGCAACATGGACCATTTTTGTAACAATTACCCCGGTTGGAGTTATTTTAATCAACATTAAAATTAAAACAATTCATCTTTTCTTTCATATTTCATAATACTATAACATTGTAGTTTTAGAAATCTATGCGAGTATAGCAACGTACTTTCACTGATTTGTTGATTATAGCACTCTACTTTCATATTTCATCATATTAGATCATTAAAATGAAAGTACGATGCTATGATTTATATGATTTATTGGATATGATTAACATTTCAGGTAGTTACCAAAAGACGTATTTGCCCTCATCCTTATTATCATAATGAATTATCTTTGGTTATGAGTGACCTAATCAATAAGACACTTACCAAAGAAATCAAGCCCAGAACTATGACAATGGAGGGCTGATGATCATAGCAAACAATGGTAACATATTATTGGTTTGAAAAAAAAATTATAAATTACCAAAAAGGAAATCTTGAAGCAAAATCAATACACCATTGACTCATTTCTAATGTTAATAATGTGCAAACATGTGGCTTTTCACAAAATAAAAGATGTACTAAATCAACTTATTTGTAATGTCTTGATAATGGGCAAATATGTAAATTCGAACACATATATAGAAGAAAATGTTGACCTAACATCAACCTATTTGTAATGTCAAACATGGATAAACCTTCCAAAATTCAAAGCATGATTCCCAAGTAGATAGATACTATCAATTCATTCATAACAATGGATATGGGCAAATAGGTCATTTAACATGAAAACTTTCAAAAAAAAAACTAACCTGTAGATACTCCAATTCTGCCATGCTTTCTGTCTTCTGAAATCAGTGTGTATAGAGATCGTTGACCTGCATCAGATGCAAAAAATTCACCCCAAAATTTTTTGTGTTTGACCAATTAGATAAAAGTCAACTGTGGCATCATACTTTACCTAAAATGGCAAAGAGATTAGACCAATTAGATAAAAAATTATTGATTTGACCGAAAATTTCAAACAAATATTATTAGCAGATCCCAACTTTTTGAACAGATTAGCCATAGAAAAATCAATATCAGTAACTACTCTCCTTGAACAATACCAGAAACGAAAAGAAATGTTCTTTAAAAATCGACTATGTGATGACAGATTTACAAATAAAGGAAACTAAGCAACTTTGTTAATTTATAATCTGATAAAAATAAATAAATAAATAACAGCAAAAGTGAGTAACGTTCATTCAGTAAGACCATACCTGCCAAAATGAACCACTATCTCTTTACCATCAACATTTCTTCCTGAAAAAATGACATAAAACATAAAAAGAAAAGATTGGTTTTTTAATTCATGAAATGAATTTTGTATTACATTATTGAAATATTGGCTCTAAAAGTTCACGGCTGGGTGTATTTTCTTTCAACATTCAATGATTAGTAGAATGATTTGCAAGCTACAAATTCATAAAAGTTGGAACTAATGAGAAACACAAAATACAAGACACATGGAATGCTCACTTGGGGTAGGCCACATGACATCAATCTTGTTACTTTCTAGCTAGAACATCAAGGCTAAAAGGGTAAACTTAATAAAATTCTAAACTGTTTTCAGTTTACCTAATCAAAGAGTAGAAAGTTGTGGAAGTATATATTATCTAACGGATTGCACTATACTAACAACAACTTGGATGAGTTCTATGCACACGAAAATATATAAAGACAAGAAGAATATTTTTTGTACTATGGATCCAGAGAACTCTTTTAGATCAAATCATAAATGACAGATTTAACAATGATAAAAGGAAATGAGAAAACTGACATAATCATTTCATCCAATACCTGGTGGGCAGAACTTTAGCTCCACCACTGAACATGGTAGTTTCATGGGAAAATCCTCCAGATGTCATACCCTTCACACTAGTCCTCTTTTTCTAATCATATAATGAAAAAAATGAAAATAATTAAACTCTTGTCAAACAGTTAGAGTAAAATGTAACTGAAATAGTTAGGAAAAATAGTAATATAATATACTTGAAGGGCATAGTTGGGAAAGCATAACAATTTTAACAGATACATAAAAGACTTTCAAATCATCGATTAGCTGCACTTGTCCATTTGAAATGGACTTTGGTTGGGGATTCTTATTAAACACATGGTATGCGTCCCTATCACTGTTTTTCATCTTCACTTACATCATCGTCTTCATTCTCTAAGAGATAAAAAAAAATAGAAATAGATTTTGGGGAATAACATACCTTATAATCACCAACCTAGAATTCGTTATAGAATATGTCTTCTACAAACAATAGTTGATGGAATTACTATCGGGACCTGGACATTGTGATAGCAAAAAAATTAATTAAAAAACAATTTGTGTAAAATTAGGGCAGCAAAATTCCCAAACATTGTCTCTTCCTTCAACACACGGAGGCCCATATCAAACATCATCATCAATGTAGAAGAAATAAAATAGGGCAAAAAAGAATCCCGTAAACAAACAGGCACAAGAAATAGCATAAATCAACATACCTGAAGTCTTTCATCTAAGGCGTCGCCGGTGGAGAAAAGCTGGATCCGACGACTGGAATTCAAGAACCTGGAGAAACCGAAAAATCATCGAACAAAGATAACGGAGAAGGCTACACTGTGAAGGTTGGAATAACAATATCGACATGGATTATCAATGAAAAAAAGCAAAGAAGACGTGAATTTAAAGAAGCGAAGCACCAACTTGAATTTAGGTTGATGTTCTCTCCAAATCCAGAGGTATTCGATGTTTCACAAATCGGAGTAGATAAAAAGAGTGATGTGGCAAAAGGAGAGGGAAACAGTGGTAGTGAGGAATGATCGAGATGAGAGGAGAAGCAAAGCAGTGGAATAACATGAAATGGGGGTAGTCATCGACGTGAAAGAGAACCCGGATGAATTGAGAAGGAAACGATAAGCGTAATAGGGATGAAGATGGACAAGCAGACGATGGAAATCAGTTTAGGAAGCAGAGGAGAAAAGACCTGAAGGGGAATGAGGAACGG